AGCCGTCTCCGAGGTTTGTGGGTGTTTTCCATAACTGGAATTGGAAGTGGGAGAAGAACCGGGAGCTGCAGTTCCCGCTCCACACCGGAGCTGCGCGGTGGCCGAGGCGCGGGCAGGCAGCACTGGTGGGGCGCACCGCCCACCCCGGGGCCGCTCTGCCTCAGTTCCCCTCTCTAAAAAGAGACTAAAAATCAGCTCCGTGGGAGATGCACGGAGGGTACATTGGCCGGAGCCACCTCCGGTGCCCCCATCCCCCTCGCTCGCCCCAGCCGCCAGCAGCGGACACTCACCCGTCCCTGCAAGAACCCCGGGATGAGCAGGGTGGGGATGAGCCCCTGGGGTGGCACCGAGCTCCCAGCCACGCCGAAGGGCCACCAGCTCCAAACCAAGGGCACCCAGCAGCCCAAGCACAGGGCCACCTCCAAGGGGAACGTCCCCAGCGCGGGCAGCCGGTGCCTGCGGTGCCCCCCACGCCTGCCGCACCGCAGCCTGGGGACCTCCTCCTCCCCGGGACACCTTCCCAGCCCCACGGCAGCATCCCCCTTTCAAAACCCTTTCTTTTCCAGCTTACCTGCCTATGGCTTTAATCCACAGCCACCTCCAGCCCAGCCACGGCCCGAGCGGTGTGGTGCAAACGCAGCGGTCCCGCACACACTCCTGCGCGAGGGGACAATACCCAGGTAGTTATTTTTAACCCCGTTTGACACCCCTCTCGCTTCTCTCTCTCTCCTTGTTTTCCTCAACAACAATTTCTCCTTCCCTCGAAAATCTAACACGCTTGTCAAGACAGAGGTTTGGGGTTTTTTTTCCCCCCCCTCCTCCTCGAGGCGATTTCGTCGTGCCTCAGACCGGCTCCAAGCTGATGATTTGTCGCTATCAAAAGTAGCTTTAGGGTTTAGAGGAGGGCTGTGGGTTGGGGTTTTTTTTTTTTCCAATCCACCAGCTCACAGCAGACGAGAGCAGCACAGAGGACACAGGGCTTTTTTTTCCTGGGAAAGCTGCTGGTTTCCTGTCAGCCTCTCGAACACAAACTCCTTCCGCAGAGCCGCAGATGGCAACAAAGTGGTGTTCAGCACACGCAGCTCCGGCTCTATTCCCTCCCTTCGTTTCTTGCTTTCGGCAAAAGCAAAGATGAAATTAGATTTCGGCAGCTCGTATGAGCTGGAAATAGTTGTTTAGTCCAGGTGGAGGCGGTGGGAAAACATAATAATAAAGCGCACGCGTGCTTTGCACGCTGATCTAAGGGCAGACGTGGATCAGCCGGGAACGAAACGCGTGTCTTGCTTACATTTTCCACGTGAAAAAAGTTCTCAGCAAGGTCATGATTAAACCCAGGGTGAGGAACTTGTACAATAAAAAAAAACCCACCACTGGAAAAAAACAAAATGCAACTCAAGCTGCAGCATTATGTTAACAAAAGATGAGGGCACAGAGCTCAGAAAAGCAACGTGACCGTTGGGTCTGGGCAAAGCGCACGGTCAGGAGACTGGAGACCAGCGTGTGGTCAGTGGTACAACTCCTTTTCTCTCCAGAGCTTAAAGAAACTGCTGCAATAATGCCTCGTCTTCGGGTGTAGCCGGCGGCTGGGAGATGCAGAGTGGGTTTAGGAGCCATTCCCTTCCCGGGACACACTGACTTTTCCACGTTGTGTTTCTCTCCCGGAGGCACCATCCAAAATGTGATCCCCATGTCTACTGCTGGACCTGCCCGGGGCTTTGCGCACAACATTTCGCAACACATTTCTCAGCGCTTCGGTCTTCCCCCGGTTAAACCAGAGGTGCTAACACACATCTCCTGCCCAAGGGATGCTGCTTTGGCACATTAGGAGCTCCCTAAAAATGTGCTATCTAAATGTCCAGGCACGCTACACAAACGCGAGGGCTTTTTCAAGCCCCAAACAGAAATCCCCAAGCGTTGTTCTTGGAAGAGCAAGAGGAGATGTGTGATAACGGAGCGACTGGAAACCTGCAGAAAAGTTTGGGAACGGCAGCCGGAGGGGCAGGATAAATCATAGGACAAGAACAGTGGAAGAGGAAGGAAAAGGCAGCTGAAAAAAGGGAGGACAAAAGAAGAAGCAGCATGAACAAAGATGGAAAAATAAACCTGCCAATATAACTGTTTATCTTTCCTTGTATTGACGGTGCAGACAGATCTTGGAAGGCTGCCTGGCATGTCTTTTGTCAGAGCGCGAACGGAGAACCCATGCCACGTCCCCCACTTGATAAAACCTTGCCTCCGTGGCAATAACTCATTACTTGGAAATGGTGAGAGCTATTTATTTGCATACGCTGTTCGAAAACTGTCCACCAAATTGATTCAAAACCACCCAATGAGGTATTTTATACAACTCGACCAACCTGCTCGCGTGAGCCGGAGCATCGCTCCCCCTTTCTGCCCCCCCCCTTCCCTGCCCACCCTCCGCCGCCCTGTTTATTTTAGACCATAAAGCCTCCATAAAGCCTCCCCAAACGAGGGCTGCGACCACGCGTGTGTGTCTACACCAAACAACAGGGAGGGGAGCTCTGCTCCTGGAATTACTGCAATATAGATAAAGATCTGGTTGGAATTACGGTTATCCTGCTGCCTCTTCGCGTTAACCGGATTCTTTCAATTACTAGCAGCACTTAAGATGGCCAGAATCGCTTCAAAATACGTCTGTCTTGATAAATAAATCATTTTGTTTTGGAAAGTGTTAACAGTGGTTTGCGTTTTTCAAAGAGATTTGGGAAACTGCAGGGTTCATTCTGGCCAAATGTATTTAAATTTTTTTTCTAGAGGAAAAAGCTCTAAACAGAAACTTCGTTTCATGAAAATTTGGCGCAAGGTTCTTCCTCTCCCGCCACCCCCATTTTCACAAAGACTTGGGGAAAAGTTAGAAAGGGGGAGACAGAGAGAAGGAATTGTCCCAACTGCTTTTGGGGGAGAGAATCTTCAAATTTTAAGCAGCCCTAGTGCCAAAGCTCTGCTTTCCAGACCCACCCCCTTACTCTTGACATCAGTGAGGGACTGATCAGACTTCCAGGTCTCTGACTGCAGGAGAAGTCTCCCTCAGGACAGCGGTTGAAGTCAGCTATCGGTCTGCTGCCGCTGCAGGAAGCGATCGATGATAAACCCCAACTTATCCAGCAGCTAATTGCTGCTGGACGGGGTAATTCCACCCCTTGGCCACACGTTCCTGCGCGTTGGCACCGATGCCACCCGTCCCTCCACTCTCCTGCCAGGGCGAGCTCGCCACGGGGAGCCACCGGCGGAGCCGGGAGCGGGCAGGACCGGCCACCGCAGCAGGAGCCAGGGGAGATTCTTCTTTGCGGCAGCGTTAAACCCAACCAAATTTCAAAAGTATGGGGCAACACGGGGGAGTCCGGGGGCTGCCGGTTTGGAAAAGCCTCTGACCATCACTTCCAGCTGCCACAGGGCACTTGTGAATCACCGTCTCACCCTGCCTCGGCCGGGAGGAGCGGCGGATCCCGAGGTGGAGGTGCTGGACCACCCTCTGAGGGTGGCAGAGAGGTGCAGCACTGGCCCAGGTGGCCCGGCGGGCTCCCTGGTCGGTAGCCTCTGCTCCCAACACCAGACCACCCTGTGCTTGCTTATGCCCCTGCTGTTAAAAGCGGACAGCTTGGGCTTAATAGCGTTTTTAACTATCTTAATTACTTAACCTGAAGAAGGGTTCGTGAAGGAGCCGTCTAGCCGCTGGCCAGCTACTATGCCAGACTTTATCTTAATTAATTACTATCACCAATACAAACATCCCTGCTGGAACACTTCGATAACAACCGCATAGTGGTTCCAACCGCATGTTTAAATAACTGACTACAGGCCAGAAATAAGCTCAATAGTCTGTTCCCCCCCCGCGGTGTTTCACAGTGACCCCGTATCTCCCCCCTTCCCTCTGCCGTCGCTGCCGGACCCCGGCGGAGTGCGACAGCGGGGGGTCA